GGGGAGTAATTTTGTGTTAAATATAGGACTGCAAATCTTTGTGTATTAAGTGTATTAGATATTAAGAATTAATGTAAATCTACTTTTATTAAATTAATTTATTATATATCTCTAAATATTTTATTAAAAACATTTAAGCAAAAAATTACACAAAACAAATAATAATAATTATTATTACCTTTTTTACTTTGGAGTAAAATGCGCTATTTTTTATTATAGGACCGCTCATTTTTGTGTATTAGGTATATTAGACATTATTAAGAAATAATACAAATCTATTATTATTATATTATTATTTTATTTTACAAGTACAAATTTTTCATTCACAATGGAACTAAGTTGTGGTGTATTAAATATATTAGATAATATTAAGAAATCATAAAAGTCTGTGTTTATTACATTTTTATTTACTTTTATTGTATTTCTGTAAATGTTTTATTTTATTTAAAATAAAATACATATTTAAGCCAAATATTATAATCACACAAATATATTATTATTATTATTAAAATAATATTAAATGAAACGGTAAAAATAAAATCATTTTCTGAAATTGTCAGGCACGAATGGCAACTTTTTTCCCCGAGAACCTCTCAATATTTGATTACATGTATTTCCAAACGTGAGCATGATGCTGAGGAGAGAACTGAGAAACCCCAGCATTATGGAGATACTCACATTAATGAGCGAGACGAGACCAGCTGAGAACGCCATGAGATAAAACACAAACCTCCACCTGAGCAAGCACACAGGAAAGCTCATGGTAATCAAATGCAAACACAATCAATCACAGACGTCTGCTGTGGGTTAGGCTTCAGAGGCTTACGAGGCTTCACAGAACTTCCTGGTGTTTCCGGGCCGGTCCTGGTTTCGGCGCTGACGCAGCCAGGTCTGGATCTGACGCTGAGAGAGTCCACAGTGCTTCTCCAGAACCAGCAAATCACTCTGAACAAACAAACACAAAAATTAGGATTTCGTTGTATTAGATTTTGAAACTAATTTGTTGATATGTCAAAATTGGCTTGTATGTCAAAAATTTATTAACAGTAACGTGCAAAATCTAATTTTTATGTAGAAAAGATATATATTGTACTCTTATTAGATGTACCATTATTCTTCTATAGTCTTACATTAAACTGACCAACAACTTCAGTGATTACGTGTGATTTAGTCGCAAACTGAAGAAAAGTTTGTTTTTCAAAGCACTGAAAAAAAAAACAAAGAAACAAAAAAGAGCGAAACTCTGACAAAATCTGATTTCTTGATGATTCGATATTTTATAATAGTGATTTTATCATTTCAAAATATAAAGGAAAAAGTAGAAATGAATAACTAATAAGCCAATAAGTGCTCCTCTGCTGCCATCTACAGGTTATAATGGTGATTTGATTTATTTTTTTAAATTTTACACAAGTGTTTGTTCACCGCAGTATATTTAGGTCATCCCATTGAAAATAACATTCAAACTGGATCATTTAGGAGCTTTAAAGTGCTGGAAACAGTTGTGTGAAATGCTTGTAAGTCACTGAAAATTGCTTGAATTTCTCTCTCAAACGGTTGTACAAACCCTGGAATGAATAATGTACCGTATTGACCCGAATATAAGATGATGTTTTTTTCTTGGAAATACACACAACCTCATGGTTACAGTTAGCATTACCGCTTCTGGTTTTCTGCGTCAGCGCCGTTTGATCTGTTTATAACAGAGATTTCTGTGCAGAATTTGAATGCTTCTCAGTAAACCTCGCAGCAACCTTTATTCATTCTGCAGTGAATTCAAACGCTTCTCACTGGATCTTGCAGCGCCGTGCGGTTGCAATAACAGTGTCGCGAAATCAACTTTGGTTCCCGAGTAAAGCTGTTCTGAGATCGGACTAGTTTGTTTGCGAGCTGTTCAAGCTCAAACGAGTAGCGCGATTTTTTTACGCTTTCGTTTCGTTTGCCATTTGATGTTTCTCATATGCGACAGAAATGGCAACGCAGTGGTCGCGCCAGTGCGACCGCACACAAAATTTACTCGCACCGGCAGAAAAAATGGTCGCAGTCTGGAGCCCTGTATTATGCTGTATTTTATATTATAAATAAACTGCAATATAATAACCATAACCCTGAAAATGAAATGTTCAATGAATGTTGCTTCCAAGAAAAATTCATCCAAATATAAAAATGAAAAATTAACCCTGAAAATTAAATGTCACAATCTTCTGCTTTAAATGAAAAATGAAATACAAAGGACATTTATTAATTTGTTGGGTGATTTAATAATTACTGAAACGTAAACTTATTTTTGTAACTATTTAACTATGTATTAAACGGTTATTTTAATGGCATTTTTTAGTAATTTGGCCTACTATAATAATTTCATACACAAAAAAAATGTTTTTATAATATATACACTACCAGTCAAACGTTTGGGATCTCTACAATTTTTTATATATTTTTTAAGAAGTTTCTTATGCTCATCAAGGCTGCATTTATTTTATCAAAATACAGGAAAAAAAACAGTAATATTGTAAAATATAATTTATTCCTGTGATGTCAAAGCTGAATTTTATAAACAATATTTGAATTTTGATTCATATTGTAATAATATTGTAATAAAATAGTGTAACAAATGTGATAAAAGTTTAAATAATAGTGAAGTGCTATGATTAATAAATAAACAGTCCCAAGTGTTTTTGTGCTCAGCAGCTGTACACATATATAGGGCTGGGTATCGTTCAAAATTTTTCGATACTATATCCTCTGGTATGGATGTCCAGTATTAAATCACACGTCACAGACGGCAGGTGATCATGTGACTCACTAACCTGTGACGGCTGCTGCTTCTTCTGCAGGTAAAACTCCTCCAGCTTCGGGACGGGTGTGACACACACCCGAACCCTGTCCCGGACGCCCAACCGCCGGCTGAGCGGTAGCGCCACAACCCTGTAACACACAGACAGAGACAAGCGTGACTCAACGCGCCGGCACTCGAGGGCCCGACACCGTCTGTAACTCAAGATCTTTAAATCAAACGCGAGTCGCTGTACAGCCAGAACTGGGCGGCTTTTGATGAGTTAACGGCAAGAAAGGGAGCGACGTGAGAAACAGCTGGCGTTGTAAGCCAGTGGCAATCGCACCCTTTCTGCGATACATATACATACAGCAGGTCTGCACTTGACTCGCTCTTCCAGACTGGCAGAGTAACTTCATGACTCTGTAATATAAGAGTGAATAAATGGCCAAGAGGTCAGATTTCATCACATAACCAACTGAAATAAGACATAATTAATATGATATGTGAAAAGAGGTTTGGTTGATATGCAGAATGCTGCGTAGCCCCGCCCACCAGAGAATTTGATTGGTCCATAAGTACTTCTGTTAACTGTGCATTAAATATTAAATAGCTTTTGATTGGCTGTCATTGTGTCTGTAATGCAATATATATATATATATATATATATATATATATATATATATATATTTTTTTTTTTTTTAAGAATATT